TGTGAACAGCAGCTATGAAATCTATCACTCAAGAGAAAAGTTCTATATAGATCCATGCACACTTAAAGAACCATCTGCATGATTAAATGGTTCTTCAGATTGATTGAGATAGTGTTATATATGGTTCTATATAGAATCCTCTTGAAAAGTGTTCTACATAAGCGGGGGGAAAGAGTTCTTCTATTGGTAAGATGTCAGGCTTGGACCTACAGAAGAACCCTTTTGGTGCTATATAGAACCTTATACAATCTGAAGAACCATCTCACCATGCAAAGAACCATTAAATCATGCAAAGGAATCTGTACAGAACCACAGTCTTTACTAAAAAACCCTTGAAGAACCGTGTTTTTCAAGAGTTTTTCTTCTAATGATGTAAAAACATGATTTTTGTTTCTAATAATGGTCATGTGTAAAAGTTTGGGCACCCCCAGAACACATCTTTTTTTCCTATTTGATTTTCAGCGTGTAAATAAGCTACACATCCTCCACAGAGACACACTTCTGCACACTTTAATACACAGTAATGCTTACTTGGTAAATTTAACATCTTTGGGAAAATAAAACATAAATGCGGACTGTGCGAAAGTAATGGCACTTAACAGTATGTTAACCTCAATGAATAAATTAGCAAAATTGTCATATTTATGTTTGTTCCCTGTAGATGTTTCGTCCATTCGCGCGTGAACAGAGTAAAACATGATGTTGAAGCAGTTAAAGCTTTCCAATGAATTTGCCACCATTCAGTTATTATTTTATACTCACTGCTACATGGCGGCAGGCGCTCAAACATAGCAATGTTGAAAATTCCCAAAAAGCCACAAAAAGACTTTTGTTTTGGTTCCTGTCGGCCTTCATGCTCTCTGATTAACAGGTGGGCCTTGAGGTGGAAAAAGTTGAGAATACCTGCTTTACAGGGTTTATTAACTGATTTTCACTTCAGAATTTTAAATTCTCAGTGTTAATTTCATGTTTTTTTCACTGTGACGTCTTTCCACATGTATTCTCGCTTCAATGAAGAGGAAGAAGAAATGGATCCATTGAGCAGTAACTTAGTTAAACAACTTAAAACAAGAAATAAGTTAGTCTTATAAGCTTAAAACTAAGAAATAAGAAATATTACAATGCCATTTTTTACAGTATAAACTTGAGAATAAAAGGTAGATATTTCTAATACGTCTCATTTTGAGATGGTTGTGGGAATATTATAAGATTATTTAACTTATTTTTAGACATCTGCATTCACAAGACTTCAAAGAAATAAATGTCTAGAAATACTTTCAATCAGTCTTATATTCCTACAACGATCTCAAAATCAGAAATTAGATATTTTGCTAGATTTATGATTTTACTTGCCAAGGTGCCATTTTTTACAGTGTACTTATGGTGAAACAGGTTAATATATATAATATTTTTCATTTTGACATGAATGTGGGATTATGATGTTATTTTTAGACATTTTCACCAGTTTTAATCATTTTATTTCATAAAATTCTCACTATATTGGCAGATAATTTTTCAACTTTCTAGCATATTTTTTTACAACAAGCACATTTATAACTTTCTCAGTAAAAAAATCATTTAAAACAAATAAACGTCTAGAAATATGTTCAATTATCTTATAAATAAGTTACCACAATTTTAAAAATGAGAAATATTAGAAATATCGACTAGATTTCAGATCATTTCACTCAGCAAGATATCATTTTTCACAGTGAAGCAAATTAATACTAGGCTATTTGACCGATTTAGGCACTACAGGCGTTTCAGAAGCCAGGCGTGTCTATTAGACTGATGAGTTCAGAGAGTCAGATCAGGGAATCTGAGCTGGACGGAGAGCCACTGTAGGGTTTGGCGTGTGTGCAGCTCTCAGGGCGTGTCTGTGTTCATAATTATGGAAATGCTTCTGCGTCAGTTTGTGTTTGCTAACGCCAGGCAGGCGGAACAGCCAGAACATAAACGGCTTCAACGCAAACCCAAACAAACCCACCGACACCCACCGTCGCCCACCGACCCCCTCACCGCAAAGAAACAACACACGCTGACAGGCGAGAGCAGAAACACAGGAACACCGAGACATTTCTGCTTCATATCTGCAGCTCCGCTCCGACCCTGACAGAGGACTCATGTGAAAGAGCGCAATTTAGAGCCACCAGCCCCCCAAAACACCCCCCCACCCCAAATGTAGTCAGCCGAGACGCTTCGCTTCTTTAGATTTAGATTTTTATCCAGTCTTATATACGAGTCATTTTAATTATGAAAAGAAAAAATGAAAAATGTTTATGTATCTTCTTTTCACAGCACATGCAATTTTATAGTTGAGCTCCATCTGAAATATTACGACAAAAAAATCATTAAGATTTATGTGTGTTTATTAGATATAACTGGTGAATTTATCTTCGTGGAAAAAAACAAAATATACAATGTGCCTAAACTTTTGCACAATATTTATATTTTGCATTTTCCAGTGTGTAAAAGTTTGTAAATTAACAGTAACTGTGCATCTGTTGAGGATGTGTTCAGTTTTTTTCACTCAGAAAATCAATAACAACATGGAATTCGGCCCCAAACTTTTGCACGCAACTGTACATCCTCACGTCTTCAGGGCAGCTCAAAGGCTTCATAGGCTGTTGTTGACACATTCCTCTCCGTCACAGCGACAGCATGACTGTACCTCAGTGTTCTACTGAATTAGTTCAAACTGCGCTCACACTGTAAAAAATACACTTATAAAACAATGACGTACTCAGAGTTTACAGCTTAGATATTTATAAGGATTCTGTTCTCATCTATTTGAACCCAAACATTAATAGAGACATTAATAGAGACATTAATAAGCTAAATATATACAAAATCAGCATTGATGGGGTACTTTCTATTGTAAGGAGTCTGTCCCAAACACTAACCCCTAAATTTATATTTGTGAAAATTTTTTTTTTTCAAATTTAAAAAAAATATATTTTTGATTTCTTTTAAAGTGAAAATCAAAGTTTTCAATTTATGAGGAGTTTAATGTTTAAATAAAAATGCTTATGTCACTACCAAAACACAGAGCTTTAGTCAGTAGGTGGAGCCTTATTTTAGCCCCGCCCCTGCATTTTAGAGCAGGAAGTGAGGCTGCATCCCTGTCCTTCATGGCCACATGGTGAGCAGTTAGATCCCATTGTTTGGAAGTAAATGTGTCCCAAAGTCTGAAAATCAGTGTGGAACATTAAGAATTGTCATATTTTCTTAAGAATTCAGATTCTTAAGAATGTTCTTGTGTTTTAATGTAAAATATGATGATTTTATGTGTGTACAGCTGTTCAAAGGTGTGTTTGCTGGTCATGCTCTGCTCAAAATGAGCTAAAATTGTCACTACTGAAAGTCACTACTGAAACATTTGGCAAAGTTCAGGTTGTGTTATGAGTGTTTTGGTACTGACAAAATGAAACATTCAATCATTAAAATAAACATAATTAAGGTTTAGGGTCACTCAGAACAAAAGGATTTTGGTCTAAAGTTCAAGATCAAGTCCAAAATTCCTCTTCAGCTCTGACTTTGAACCAATTTGTTAGAAAGAAAAAATTCTGATAAAAGTGAGTCATACCGTGTCAGAAACCATGTAATCAAGTCTATTAGAGCTTCAAACCAACCCTGCCTTGGCTGGTCCACTACATTTGGGGTAAGAGCGTTAATGTAAAGAGTAAATCTGTTTTTTCAACATAGGAAAACATTGTATTAACAACAACAATACAAAACAAATATGATCTTAGATACACATTTTCTTCTATCAGTGCTAACGCTGTATGCATGTACAGTGCGTTGGGCGATATTAAAGTCATTAACAAAACCTCGCTCCTCTGTACGGAGTCCATACGCATCACAACCAACAGATCCTCAGACTCTTTGGGTGAAGGATACATAACCATTCCAGCATGACCTCGGCGAGTTCCCAAGTTCCTCCTCCGGCAGAGCAGAAGGTGGGGCCATGATTGTTGGTCTGGGCCAATAACGATTACGGGTAAGGATGGGCGACAGACATTGGTCTTTGTAAATATCCTGATAGATGACATCACTCATATTTGAATATGTGAAATAGTTACTAACAATAAAATAAGAAAAAAGCACAATTTGGCTCACTTAAAAGTCTGCATTCCATCATTTGGCCACATGGTGGCGCTGATTATCTTCCTTTAGCCTGGTTTGTGGAACGGCTTCTTTCTCACTGTTAAACAACGGTATTACTTTTGCGTCAGGATGACAATCGGCAGATTTGTTGCCTAATTATTTGCACATTTAAGACTGTGAACATCATCAAACTGCCCAAGCCTAATTGCGAGAGTCCTGATGGTGAGTTGTGATTGGTCAGCAGCATCACATGGCAGAGAGAAGAATTTGCTTGATGCCGTCTCTCTTTCTCAAAGCATGTTGACCCTTTAAGTCTATTTGCATTATAATTAATTATATGTGTTACATAATGAATCGTGTTTACATTTGATTTGTATATCAACAGGTTCGAGTCTGCACTTCCGACTTTTTCCATTTGTTTGGGTAAATGTACAGGTAGCTAGCGGTGTAGGCTACAACTTTAACTTAGCTAGCTAGCAAAGCCAGTGAACTCAGGCGTGGCCTTTGAACAGACTGGCTGAGCCTTGTCCTGTGGGCGTGGTCTGTGAGCTTAGTGGCTCAGGTGTGTTCTACAGTCATGAGCCAAATAGATCAGATGTGTCCTGTGGGTGTGGTCTGTGAGCTAACTGGATCATATGTGATCCAATTAGGCTCAGGCATGTCCTGTGTGCGCAAGCCAATTTGTACAAGTGTGTGCTGGGGGAAGTGATCTGTGAACTAACTGGTTCGGGTGTGTTCTAGGCATGTGGGCGTGAGCTAATTTGCTCAGGTGTGTCCTGTGGGCGTGAGCTTATTGGCTCAGGTGTGTCTTGTGGCGTGATCAGTGAGCTTACTGGCTCAGTTGTGTCCTGTGAGTGGAATTCAAAAGCTGATTGGCTCAGCTGTGTCTAGCAGACATTGAAACCTGAGCTGATGGGCTCAGGTGTGTCCGGTGGGCGGGGCCTCCCCCAGACGGATGCTGCCGAGGAAGGTGGTGTGGTTGCTCATGGAGATGGAGGTGTCCTCGTACACCATGCGGATGGAGATGCGCTGTTTGGCACGGAGCCAACACACACCTGCAGTGTAACAGGTGTTGAACTTCCGCTGTCCGGTCTCGATGCTCCGCGTGCAGCGCAGGAACGGATCCTTATCAATCATCACCTCATAGCTCGCAATGTCCGTGAAGTTCAGGTAGTACACCTGCGCACATGCGGCATGCATGCAACCACACACACAACAAAACATGCATAAAACAATAGAACAGTGTAGATTAGAGTATATCAATGTTATTACAAGATACCTGTAATATTATATGTACAGTACTGCGCATAATTTAGAACCCGCCCTAAATTTATATAATTTCCAGTCAAAACAGCTGTGAATTACAAGTTACTCATTTTTCAGGAGATATTTGTGAGGATATCAGATATGTAATAATCCACTTAATGTGCAGACAGCAGAAGAAAGTCAAAAAGAAAATAAAAGAAAAAACAGGAATTTTCAAAACTGGAGTTTAACCAACTTCTAAGACTGAACTTTGGAGGTGTGGCTGCAGATTTCTTTGAGAAACTGATGCTTAATGCAGTGTTTCTTAAAGTATGTTGACCCCTTTAAGTCTAGACTCATTACTTTTGTAGAACATAGCAAGAAAAGTAAATGCATGATAACGATTAGTTACATATTTTACATATTAAATTGTGCTTAAATTTGATTTGCGCATCAATGGGTTCCAAATCATTTGAATAGCAGTGCACTTGTATGTATGTGTGTAGGAAACAGTTGAGGGAGCATACTCACTTCTACCTGACTATAGATGAAGTACGTCCCGTCCACCAGCACCTCCAGCTCTCCGGAGCGCGAGTGCATTTTAAACACACGCGGGTGCGTCAGGATCATCTTCCAGTTTTTTAGGACGCCTTCTGAGAGATCTCACAGAGAGATACCAGTCACTACTCACCCATCCGCCTCAGCGGCACCCACACACACACCTACACCCTCTACAGCCCAAATCTCTCACTACACACTGCAATAAACGACATCTTAGCAAGTTAAATCATCTTATATCTACTCAGTACATCTAATATTTCTCATTATGAGACTGTTGTAAGAATATAAAATCATTTAACTTCTAGACATTTGGGTCTCATGAAAGCAATTTTTTAAATAAATAAAATCATCTGCATTATTTCTCAAAACTAAATAAATGATCTGCTGACTTTCACTTGATAAAATAATGATGTCATATATGACATCAAAGGACATTGTACATAAAAGAATAAACCTCAGGAACACTGCATGCCAGTGACTTTTTCCCAGAAGGCCTCCATTGCGATCATATCCTTTTCAGAAGCTTTGTAATCCAGACTTGAACTGCACTGTCTTTTTGGAGTCTTTGTAAAATAAATCCATAATCATAAATCCAACATCGAATGCCTCTGTGTTGAAGTGAGTTATAGTTATTGTGAGCATGGCTGTGAGCCATCCATTGACGCCTTGGGCCGAGTCTGTCGCCCAATCAGAGGTTTTGTTCCTGACTTGTCGACCAATCAGAGGTTGTGGTCCTGACTTGTCGACCAATCAGAGGCTGTGTTCTTGTCTTGTCAATCACTAAGATGCTGTATTCCTGACCTGTCAACCAACAGAGGCTGTGTTCCTGACATGTTGACCAATCAGAAGCTGTGTTCCTGTCTTGTTGACCAAACAGAGGCCGTATTCCTGGCTTGTCGACCAAACAGAGGCTGTGCTCCAGACTTGTCCATAGAATAAGGCTACCCTTCCGGGCATAGTAAAACTATGTCTCTAGCCTGCAGCGTTCCTGAGATTTTTCTTTTTTTATGTACTTTTATGTCCTTTGATGTCTCATATGAAATAATCTGAGAATGTTAAACATCTTACAATATCCTTACAACAGTGTCATACTTGGAAATGTTAGATATATTGACTAGATTAAGATACTCTCACTAGCTAAGACGTCGTTTTTCAACACAGTACCAGACAACTCGAATAATGAAGGCTAGAAACGAGAGCACGACTTCGCGCTGAACATTAGAAGACCTTCGCCCCGTGTGCAGCTACAGAGTACAACGACAGAAGTAATTAAATAGCTTATGCAAATATGCACAAATTGGGAGATGATAGAGTAATATTTTCGTGTAGGGGTCCATTTCTGAGCATATGGTGGCACATAAAAACACTGAGGAATGCATGCGTCATTACAAAGACAATAATTAGTCCTGCTTAATTAGATTTAGAGCAGTGCAGGTGTGAAATGCTGAATAGAAGTCATTGTATAATCATCGTATATATTATTTCTGACAATATTTATTTTTAATGTGGCACTGCTGGGGCTTTTTTGTCAGTTCTAACGTATCAAACATATCTGTTCCATTTATCAAAAGCTACATGCATCATGAAAACATTTTCACATATTTTTTCTTGTATTTTTGCCGTATCGTCCAGCCTTACCAGATTATAACATTTTGTGTGTAATCAGGATTATCAATACCCTCAACATCTTCATGGTTTAGACACACAGTCGTATGCAAAAGTCTGGACAAGTTGATTTTCTACAGGGAACTTAAATACACTTAAATGAGGCATTTTCATGCAAGTTTTAGTGCTGAGCTTAACATTTTACAAAAATAAAGCATAAAATGTAAATTATGTATTAAATTAAATTATTATCTCTCACTACCAGATCATCCACAACATATTAAAAAAATCACTTATGATTGCGAATGTTTGTCGAAAGCGTCAATTCAGGTTTAAAATCAGTCTTAAAGCAATCAGTGTAGGCCCAGATTAAGAGTGTGAGTGTGTCTGAGTGTGTGTGCATGTTTTAACTCTTACCTTCTTTCACCTGTATGGTCGTTTCCTGACCCTGCAGGTGCACCACAGCTGGCTGTTTGCACACACACACACACACACACACACACACACACACACACACACACACACACACACACAATATTGGTACATACCTCTCACAAATACACTCTCAAAATGAGCAAATGAATGTTTATTCATAAATGTTAAAAATTATGTCAAAACGTGAAGCGATAATTTATTTACAATTTCAAGTATTTTGGAAACATTAAGAAGTGATGACATGACAGCAATAACATCAAATAATTATAATTATTAATTACAATGAATAGCTACTTTATCAGTGACATTTGGTCACTGCTTTCTGAATATGTGACATTCTGGATAATATTATTGCAACATCATTTGGGATTCATTGATGTCATTATAAGTTCATTCTACACTCTTAATAAAGATAAGATGGTTCTTCAGCAGTTCCTTAGTAAAAAGGAATGGTTCTCTTTAAAATGGTGATGATCCAAATAGGACCTTTATAGGACCATATTTTATATATTTTATGCTTAAACGGTTCTCTGCATGGTGGCATGGTTCTTCATATAGAATGTGTTGTATATGGTTCGTTACAGCACCAACAAAGGGTTCTGTTATTGTTACATCATTGACATCATAATAAAAGCAGAACACTTTTTAGTGCTATATAGAAACATTTTCAAAAAAAGTCCCCATACAACCCCATCTCATTTCCCATTTCAGCAGGCAAAAAAACATTTAAGCATGAAATGGTTCTAGGTAGATGTCATGGTTTTAAATGGAACATTCCGTTTACTAAAGAACCCTTGAAGAGCCATCTTTTTTAGAAATTGGGTATTAATTTTACTAGAACTTATTAGGACATTAAGGTTAATTTAGGTGATATCCACATCAATATGGGCGTGTAGTAAATATTCAAGCAGAGAGAACATATCGTACCTGTGAGTCTCTCAACCTGCCTTTCTCACCTCCACCTGTAAACACACACACACACACACACACACACACAGTGAAAAACAATGATGAAATCTTTTGGTGTTAAAGCAATGTGAATAAAACAACATTGTAAATATATTTGTCAAAATCTACAATTAGCATAATGAACCATATACAATATATTTGTACCATACATGCATAATCTCAACTACACACACCTCCATAATCTCAACCACACACCTCCATAATCTGAACTACACACTTACATAATCTCAACTACACACACCTCCATAATCTCAACCACACACCTCCATAATCTGAACTACACACTTACATAATCTCAACTACACACACCTCCATAATCTCAACTACACACACCTCCATAATCTCAACTACACACACCTTCACGATCTCAACTATACACACCTCCATAATCTCAACTACACACACTTCACAATTTCAACTAAACACACCTCCATAATCTCAACTACACACTTACATAATCTCAACTACACACTTACATAATCTCAACTACACACCTCCATAATCTCAACTACACACACCTTCACGATCTCAACTACACACACCTCCATAGTCTCAACTATACACACCTCCATAATCTCAACTACACACACCTCCAAAATATCAACTACAAATCCCATAATCTCAACTACACACCTCCATAATCTCAACTACACACACGTTCACAATCTCAACTACACACACCTCCATAATCTCAACTACACACACCTTCACGATCTCAACTACACACACCTCCATAGTCTCAACTATACACACCTCCATAATCTCAACTACACACACCTCCATAGTCTCAACTATACACACCTCCATAATCTCAACTACACACACCTCCAAAATATCAACTACAAATCCCATAATCTCAACTACACACCTCCATAATCTCAACTACACACACCTTCACAATCTCAACTACACACACCTCCATAATCTCAACTACACACATCTTCCTAATCTCAACCACACACACCTCCATAGTGCACGTTAAATTTTAAATTAGCAGACATCTATGTTTAACGTCTGAAGATTTGCATACAAAGTATTGCAATTTGGCCCTTACCTTGTCCCTGAGGTCCAGGAGGTCCCTGTGGTCCTGGAGGTCCAGGGGGCCCTGGAGGTCCAGGTGGTCCGGGTGGTCCAGAGGGTCCCATGGCATTGGTGCCTGGGTATCCAGGGAATCCAGGGATTCCTGGAGGTCCTGGTGGTCCGGGTGGGCCAGGTGGGCCCGGGGGACCCTGAGGTCCACGGGGGCCTTGGGGTCCCTGAGGGCCACGGGGGCCCTTTTTCCCTACAGTGAGAGGAATGGTCAAAAACAAAAACACATTAACCTCTAAACTTCAACTGCTACATGAGGAAAAAACGATTAACAAGGATTTCCTGTTTTAGAAAACAGTTCAGCTGGTTCTGGATTTGGTAACCCAGGTGGTTGCTAGGGTGTTGCTATGGCATCCCGGGTGATTGCTATTGTATTGCTACATAATTGCAACAGTGTTCCAGGTAATTGTTAGGGTGTTATTTGGTTGCTATGGTATCGCTGGTGGTTGTTAAGAAGATGCTTGGTGGTTGCTATGGAGTCCTATGTGATTAAGTGTTCATAGTAAACTTGTTCATAATATAAATGGGGGCTTTTGCTCACCATTCTTTCCTTTGGGGAAAAAATGTCTATTAATAATGATTATATCAAAATCATATGTCAGATTAAAAAATTGTATATAATAATATAATATTTGAGATCACCCTAAACATTCCAGCACTGGAGCAGTGTCAAAATCCCAAAAACTGTGGGATGAGTTTGTAGATAAAAAATATAGCAGAAAAACAAGAATTAGAAAAACAGAAATCAGGAAACAATATTGATGCATATTGCTTTGCTTTTCAATCACTAACAGTTAATAAAACTGTTATATTCAGACATGAAGACTTACCTTTCTTCCTCTCGCCTTTTCTTTTTCCAGTTGCAGGTGGTTTCTCTTCTAAAAGACAAAAATCTGTATGAGAGTCTTTCTCAGTTTATGATGTTACAGTTAAAACAGTAGAACAGACTCAGTTTATATCACAATACCTACATTTAGAGTCGGTTATTCATTCAGCCTAATAAGAAACTGTAGAACAGACTCAGTTTATATCACAATACCTACATTTAGGTTATTAATTTCTATTTAATTTCTATATATTTAGATTGTGCATAGTAATACTTTGGGCCTGAATGACCATACGTTTTTGGTGATAAGACCACATTCGGATTTTGCTTGACTGCATGAAAAGGACATGCGAGGCTGAAGTTCGCCCCAAACCAAGTGCCTTCACACACTCCAGGCCGATGAAAGCATCCAGGCTGAGCTTGTCCACTCATATTGTAATGAGAAAAAGAGTAAACAAAAGTAAGATGGAAACGATGTATGTGTTGATGTGCTTTTTACATGGAAAAAGTACAATCAGATCTCATATGAGCCACACTGGAGCCCCATTTCAGTGAAAAGTGTAAATGGAATCCATCCAAAGTTTATCCAGATATGATCCGGACAAAAAACACATGCTAATGCGAAGTGTAAACAGGCTCAAAAAGTGGGGAAACTGTGTAAATTTGATTTTTTGTGTCAAACTGTTCCTCTAAAGGGTAAACAGGGCCTCTCAGCAGTCTGCGAACTGATACGATGCCAGATCCATTTGAAAAACAGAACAAATAGCGTTAAAACTGTCTTTGACATTTTCCATAAAAAACCTTTCAACTTCCCTTCATCCAGCGCAGAAAGCCCTCAAACGAGGACTATTTGAAGTGATACGGCTAAACTGTGTATGTGTGTCTGAGAGCAAATTGGCTGAACATCAGACGTCAGCTTCAAAACAAGTCATCAAAAAAAACAAATGACGGCCAACTCATAAAGTGTGACAAATGAAGAAAGCAGAAAATAAATGAATGTGATGAAATCAGCTGTTCTGCGTCTCTGTCTCTCCGGAGAGCGGCTCAGTTTCTGAGGAAGACTTTCTGAGGTCACTCCATGTTTGTGTTGGCCAGTGTGTGGGTTTTGGGATGAGTGTGTGTGTGTGTGTGTGTGTGTGTGTTAATTAGTGCTGTGTGTGCAGCGCTGGCCTGAAGCCTTCGCACGCAATCCGCTGCTTTTTTGTGAAAATGAAAGCGGATCTTCAGCTCTGCGATTCTGATCCTCAGCAGTTAAGATGTCGGGCTGATTTTCAGAACTTTTCCACTCTGATTGTAATTCAGGCCTCATCCACACCTATCAGGGTATTTTTTAAAAACATGGGTTTTCCCTCAGTTTAAAAAAAAAAATTGTCTACACCTGCATTGTTTTTCGATTATCTTTGTGTCCACATAAGAACGCAAAAACAACTTGAAAATGCTTGCATGAGCATGACCAGTAGGGGGTGAGAGTAACCCATAAAATATCAGAGACCTCAAGAAGAGCATGAAGCTAAAGCAAAGATTTGCTAACAATGTGGTGGTGGTGTTACAAACACGGAAGACTTTCGCAGTTCGATATTTCACACAGATTCAAAGTCTGATTCCTGCCAGAAAATAAAAGCATAAAAAAGCCTGTAGTCTGCCGTGTGTCGTTTACATTAACACACCTACACCACCGTCTCTGAAACGAAACACGGTCCTGATCAGGTAGTTTTTCTACCTTGTCACCTCATTCGAATAAAAAGATTCTTTCAGATCTGTCTGTGGTTAATGATCATTAAGTCATATATCTGGAGAATCATTGAGGTATTGTTGATGTTTGCATTTGAGGTGAACCCCTGTTTGCAAGAACATCTTGAACTAAGCACAGTAACGTTTCATTCTGATGCCATATAATGAAAAAGTGAAGCCAAATTCTATTTTCAACATCATAATAATACCCAAATCGCTCCTAAATTGCTGAGCACACAGACACAACCCAGTCTTCAGCCATATTTCAGAGTTCTACATAATTAAAAAATGAAAACAGCTACAGACATGTGCAAGTTAACCACGTGATGTCAGTGTTACCAGAAAGCTGTGTTTTGCCCGTCTATTATATAAGAAATAATACATAAAAATAATTAATTCTGTGAGAAATGTGGAGAGATTTGTGTCAAATATGAAAAAGTTTTGGACAAATGCAGGGAGAAATATAGAGAGGTTTAGGATGAAGCCTGCGAGAAATGTGGAGAGGTTTGTGAGAAACGTGAAAAGGCTGGGGATGGAGCCTGTAACAAATGTGGAAAGGTTTGGGATTGAGCCCATGAAAAATGAGAAGTTTGGGATGGAGCTGATAAGACGTAGTGAGGTTTAAGATGAAACCCGTGAGAAATGTAGAGAGGTTTGAGATGAAATCTATAAGAAATACAGTGAGGTTTGGTCTGGATCCTGTGAGAAACAAGAAGTTTGGTACGTAGACTGTAAGAATTATGGAGGGCTTTGGGACAGAACCTGTGAGAAATTAGAAGTTTGGGACATAATCTGTGAGAAATATGGAGGGGTTTGGGACGTAGGCTGTGAGAAACGTAGAGAGGTTTGGGACGGAGCCTGAGCTGGAGTTACCCTTGCGGTGTGCGTTTGGGGCGCTGCAGCAGTAAGTTGGCACTGAGAGTAAATATTTGGCCTTTGTTTACATCAACATGAAAATTTCTCAATAGACATTGTTACTAAAAAGCTGAAACTGTTTTGATTCAGAAACCCCCAGACAGGCCTCAGTGAGACACACACACACACTCGAGGAGACAACGTGTGTGTGTGAAACAAAGCGTGTGGACTTTTCGCTGAAAGTCAAAACCCCAAAACGTGGTATAAATACACGTCTAAGATCGTTACAATGACAATAACAATAATACACGTCTGCTGCCCGTCTACGGCCTCCGTGTGCGAGTGTGTGTGAGTGTGAGCCGGAGCCCGTTCTCCCTCTGGCAGGTCTGGAGAGGCTTGGTGTGTGTTTAGATGTTGCGTCTGTTTGTGTGCATTATGTGATCTGAGAGAACTACTTCACTTTTCAAATGTCAAACAAAACCAAAGCGACTCTTTTCTTTTTTAAATCCGTTTTCGTTTATTTACTCTTCACCCACTTCCCTGGTTTACTACGCCTCTCCACGTCTCATGGAGGACCCCCAAATTCCTGGAGATTATCTACCAAATAACCACGGGATCAGGTGTGTTAAATTTGGGTTGGAGCTCGTGCCTCAGTGGGGCCCTTAAAGTGACAGTTCTGCAAAAAAAAATCGAATTTACCCCGTTCCAACCCCCTTGGCCCAACTGTAATCCATCAGTCAGGACATGTCTGGTGTGTGAAGTTTGCTTCTTTAGTTTTTACATCAGAGCTATGAGGCTAATGTAGCCAACGAGTAATGGAAGCCTGAATTTAGTCCATGTTTACAGATAAGGGCATAACATACATCAGTGGTTGGCAAACGTTTTCCAGCCCAGTTAAACCTCCTGCTGCGTGACCCTCTCAACACCGCATACATACACATGTGCATCTTGCCAACATGTGCATGTAGGACATTTAGGCTTCAAATATCACCACGTTGATGATGCAATGACACATCAAATTAAAGTGCAAAATAGACACTGTCAACTAAATGGACCCCAGACTAATTTTGCTTCATTGGTATTTTGTAGTTTTGTTGTTATTTTCAGGACACTCTACAGAACCCAGTAACATAATAATAATCACAATAATTCCCAATAATGTAATAATGGTGGGAACGAGACGGCGTACAGGAGGGAGGCGGCAGATCTGGTGGCCTAGTGTCAAGTCCCATCAAGGTTTATTTATATAGCGCTTTTTACAACAGATGTTGTCACAAAGCAGCTTTACAGCAAACAAAAGTCCGGGTTCGAACCCCCATGACCATCACCAATGGTGACAGTGACGAGGAAAACCTCCTTAAAAATAAGAGGAAGAAACCTTGAGAGGAACCAAGACTTAAAAGGGGAACCCATCCTCCTTTGGTCAACACCAGATAGCAAACAGTAACAGCAGAGAATGAGATTTGACCATCAGTATAAGATGCAGAAAAAGGAAAAGCAGGAGAAAAATGCAGCAGTATCAACAGGATGGTCAGTTCATGCATGTGAGGTTTGCACAGTGTTCTACAGGAGGAAGCTCCATGGGGGTCAGTCTGGTCCAGAAGGCTGGTGAGCAGTTGGCACCACGAAGGGTAGATGAAGCAACCGCATCAGACGCACAGACCATCACCGCCTGGTATGGAAACTGCAATGATCTGGAGCAGCCATCCCCTCACTACAGGACATTTACCACCCCTGGGTCATCAGGAGGGCATTCAATATTGTTGCTTCAACTGCCTTGATTGGGTACCCACTGCTCACCAGCCTTCTGGATGATTCTGACCACAATGGAGCTTTCGGCTGAGCAACACTGTACAACCTTACCTGCATAAACTGACCCTCCCGATGCTGCTGCTGCATTTTTAATCATAGGCATTGCTACTCGTTTGTTATACTGATGGTCAAATCTCATTCTCTGCTGTTACTGTTTGCTGTCCGGTGTTGACCAGAGGAGGATGCTGTTCCTCTTTTGAGTCTTGGTTTCTCTCTAAGCTTTCTTCCTCTTGCTCTTAGGGGGCTTTCCCTGCCACTGTTGCCATTGGCGACGTTCATGGGGGCTCGGACCCAGATTTTTCTGTAAAGCTGCTTTGTGACGACAACTGTTGTAAAAAGTGCTATATAAGTAAACTTTGACTTGACTTGCCTCAACATCAGGGACTGTAAACACCCTCAGCACAGCCTCTTCACACTCCTCATACTGCAGGACAACAACAGCTTCCATCCACAGGCCATTAAGCTTGTGAACGACCCTTTCACACTGACCCTTCCCATCAGCCGGACTGGTTCAACTCTGGTTGAGGGTGCTTTCACAACAATTTTGTGAGGTCCGGACCGTCAAACTTGTCAGTTTGGTCTGAACCAAAATAGCAGGTGTGAAAAGTGCCTCAGACCAAAAGACCAAAATTTGGTCCAACCAAAAGAGATGGT